GCTTATTTTGGTAAATTAACATTTTGCAGATTCTGCAAGGTGTATGTAAACTTTTGACCTCAACTGTATGTGTGTGTATATATATACAGTTGAAGTCAAAATTTACATATACCTTGCAGAATCTGCAAAATGTTAATTTACCAAAATAAGAGAGATCATACAACATGCATGTTATTTTTTATTTAGTACTGTCCTGAATCAGATATTTATATATATATATATATATATATATACAAACATGCCAACTCAGTCTTTCATATAGTCCACAAGAGAAAATAAGTTGAATTTATAAAAATGACCCCATTCAAAAGTTTACATCCCCTTGATTCTTAATACTGTGTAATTTACTGGATGATCCACAGCTGTGTTTTGTTTTGTGATGGTTGTTCATGAGTCCCTTGTTTGTCCTGAACATTTTGTTCTCATGTCTAACAAGTGAATCGGAGATTTACCAGTTTACCATATTTGATGTGCTCTATGTATGTGCATTTGAATAAATCATAAATTAAGACGCTCGCTGATGCTGCAGCAGGAAAAACCATGCTTAAAGAGCCGGGGGTGAAAACTTTTTGAATTTGAAAAAGGGTCAAATCGGTAAAATGAATTTATTTTGTCTTCTGGGAAACATGTAAGTATCTTCTGGAGCTTCTGAAGGGCAGTACTAAATGAAAAAATATGACATTTAGGCAAAATAAGAAAAATGTACACATCTTCATTCTGTTCAAAAGTTTTCACCCCCCGCTCTTAATGCATGGCTTTTCCTTCTGGAGCATCAGTGAGCGTCTGAACCTTCTGTAATAGTTGTGTTTGAGTCTCTCAGGCATTTTGTATGATCCCTCGTATTTTGGTAAAATAATTAACCTTTTGCAGATTCTGCAAGGAGTACGTTAACTTTTGACCTCAACTGTAAATGTATATATGTATGTGTGTGTAATAGCTTAATCACAGCAGTACTGAATAAAGCTTTTTTTATTGTTTTTATAATTTTTATGTTATTTTTTAAAAGATAAACATCCTGTGGATTCTGCAAATTGTATGTGATTATGAGGAATTTATGACATTTATGAACTATTTTTGTTTTATTTACAGGCGCTTCCTCTGTCTCTGTGGTTCTGAATCACCCAACATCACTTCCTTGCAGCAGCGGTGAAAACGTCGTGTGGCACAAGACCTTCCCCATAGAAGCAACAGTTGCTGAATGCCAAAAGGAGAAATGCATCATAAAAGAACGTTTTAAGGAAAGATTCACAGTCATGCATGAGAAAAACTACTCTTTATTCCTCAAGTCAGCAAAGTACAATGACCTGGGGCAATACGAGTGTAGCTGTGATGGCTTAATCAAGCAAGTTAACCTGGAGGTTGTAGGTGAGTGTTTGTTTGCCTCACATTTAGAACATGCATTAAATAGCATGAGTAGTAATACTTACTGTAAGTAGTAATGTAGCTTAATTTTTATATTTTCCCTATAGTTCCCATAAACGTGACAGCCGTTGAGTTGGGAAACGTCACTCTCCCGTGTTATGCGGACACTCAGAGCGATGTCAGGGATGGGACATGGCTACATAATGAACAAAACGCTCTGCACTACACAACAAATGGAGCCACAAACCCAGGCCTGGGCTACGAGGACAGAGTATCGCTGACAGAGGACAGATTCAGAGACAGCGATGTGTCTCTGACCATCACTGAAGTCCAGCAGACAGACGCGGGATTATACCGCTGCTTCGTCCGTGATGAGACTGCTAAAGGATACCCACATGCCTACATGCTGCATGTGATTGGTAAGAATAGATAATCTCATCATATGAATACATCATTATGTGCAATGCCTATTGTATTGCTAGCTCTCAATTAGGTTAATGTTACATTATTAACGTTAATTTAACTTGCTGGTGTTACTACTAATGTTGCACATTTTATATGAGAATGATGGTTAATTAACGGCAAAATTCATTTAGAGAGTATTACTGTTATGTAGTGGTGCATAAATCGCATGCTTGAGTTAAAGTACAGAGACCCAGATTAAATATTACTGCAGGAAAAGTATAAATAATATCTGTCGAGATTAGATAGGTAAGATTTGTTTGTAAAATAGTGTGATTAAAAACTACAACAACAACAGCCAGTGTTGTTTTATTATCATTTATATGCTATTATAGTTTTTGTTAATTTTGAATCAGTTTTTATTTTCATTTTAAGTTTTAGTAATTCTGTTTTTGTAATTTGTAATATTTTTAGTATGTCTATGTAGTTATTCTTTATTAATTAATTTGAATAAAATGAACAATTGAAATATAAATAATTTTTATTTTCATTTTAGTTATTTTAGTATTCAAGTTAAATACTTAAAATGAGAAATGTTTCATCTGCATCTAGCTGAATTTTTTTTATTTTTTTATTTATATTTTAGTTAATGTTTAGTTAGTTTGTTTCACGTAATTAACTAATGGCTTTAATTTCAGTTTTAGTTTTAGTCAACTATAATAACCCGGGCTTGAGCTCAGTCTGACATTATAATGAATTATTATGCATTACTATGAGTCGTTAACTAGCCAGCAGTCAATAAGCTGTCAAAAATTCATGAGGTTCATATAATATAATTGGCTGAAAAGAATTATTTTTTCACAAATCGGACAACAGACACTGCTGCTGGATCCAGATTTCTTCAGTTTGAAATAACAGGGAAATTATAAAGCATATTAAGTCAAGTCAAGTCAAGTCACCTTTATTTATATAGCGCTTTTAACAATACAGATTGTGTCAAAGCAACTGAACAGCATTAATTAGGAAAATAGTGTGTCAATAATGCAAAATGACAATAGTAAACACTAATTTTTCAGTTAAAGACAGTTCATCATTGAATTCAGTGATGTCAACATCCAGCTCAGTTTAAATAGTATCTTTGCAATCAAGTCAACGGTATCGCTGGAAATGAAGTGTCCCCAACTAAGCAAGCCAGAGGCGACATTAAGCTTTGAAATGTAATGAAATAAATGCCAAAGTTTCCCAAAATAAAAGAAAAGAAAAAGAAACGAACAGTGTGCTAGTTCTGTTCTGTAATTTCATGCAGAGAAGCTCACCAAAGCAGGAGGAAACCAAACTGAGGACAGCAACAATGAAAAACGAACTCGCATTGGACTGATCTTACCTTTCTCACTCTTCATTTGCTCTCTTCTCATTCTTTTATGCCGTGAGAAGATGGCATCACACACAGTGGAAACTACAGATAACGAGCCCGTGCAGGAGAGTGACCAAAAGCACTCAACTCGTCCTTTTTATTCTGGAGACGAGAGCGAAGACCTGTTAAACCTGAGGGTGAACGATTAGAGTATCAGTCTAATAATGAGAATACTGACTCATGACGGTTATGCATGTAACTGACAGCTGCTTGTCTCACGCAGAAGTACGAAATATGAAAACAGCCATCATGGGACCACAGAACTGTCTGAACACTGTTGTGTTTCATGGTGTGCTGAGTTTACACACTCTTTTCTCTGTGGACGGAGAGCACAAGTGTAGATTCAGTGCGAGATTTTTAATAGCACTTCTATGTACACATAGCATATATATTTTTTAATTGATTGTTTATTCTCTTTATTATTACTAGTTTTATATTTCATTTTATTATATGCAGTGTTGGGGAGTAACTAGTTACATGTAACTAAATTACGTAATTACAAAATAAATTACTGAGAAAAAATGTGTAATTAAATTACAGTTACTTATGAAAATGTTAATGATTACATCAGAATATTTTCACACACATACAGATTTAAAATCTGAGACACCAATGTTTCAGGAGTTGAGGACACAGAATAGGACACATGATTATTTTATTTCCTATTTTGGTTTGTATGATTTTTTTTTTTTTTTAAGATTAACTGTTTTTTTTTCAAGGCATTGTTAAATGCCAGTGTTTCCTGTCATATCTATGCAAAGATTTGATTTCAAAAACAGTGTCATAACTATTAAACTGTATCTTATGATTTTAAATCTGTATTTAACCTCAAAAAGATCTCAAAGTAAAAAGAGGTGCTAAAGTCAGATTTTGAGGTGGCTGTGCTTTACAATTAAATTATCATCTTAATTCAGATGATGAAGGATTCTGAAAGTCTGACAGTAATCAGTGTTGAGTTCTACTGTAAGCTTAACCCTGCCTGCTTTAAATGTTTCAAAATTATTAACAGTTGAACATTTTAGAAATGTAATCAAATGTAATCAGTTACATTACTTTCATAAAGTAATTGAAATAGTTACACTACGTTACATTTTAAATAAGGTAACTTGTAATCTGTAACAGATTACATTTCCAAAGTAACCTTCCCAACACTGTATGTCTGTACTTTTTTCTGTAGTAAAAACTTCTGTCACCAAGACAAATACTTTGTGTGTGTGAACATGCTTGGCAATAACGCTCTTTCTGATTGTGATTCTTTTGTATTTTTTCATAACTGCTGCATAAGGAGTTGTTTTTCAGGTTTTTATTTTTATTCCTAGCCTTATTCCTGTTTTTATTTATTCAAGGTAACATTAAATATTTACCATGTTGGAGCTGTATTAAGAAAATATTCCTTTTATTGTTTTATCTTTGTGTGTTCTCTGGAGGATACAGAATGATGTTACTTTTATTTCAAAGTATATATTGTGTGAACTGTTTAATAAAGTTATATTTTAAAGCCTCAACTTTACAGCTGTGCAGAAAAATTCACTTTAAGAGTCACTTTTCATTTATGAAGATGACATGAAAAAATGTGTCTCCTGGGTCCTGGCGGAAAACAAAGACTTTTAAGATGAAAATTACATGAAATTGTCATTATAACCAGTAGATGGCAGCAGAAGATCACTCATCAGCTAAGTTGCCATTTCAACTCCCTATTTTTTTTTCCACGTCTTGCTTCTGGATTTATTGTAAAAGGACTATTTTACTCATTTTAGTACTTTTACTGTACTGGAGTATAAAGTATAGCAAGTGCAGGAAGTCACAAAGTCTCATGTCATTTAAAAATGAAATAAATAAGCCCAGACACCAACAGCCTAGAAGGGTTAATTATTTAAATACTTAAGTTAATTATTAATGGTACAATAAATATTTATGGTATTAAATATTTTGAAGTATTTTTAGATTTAATTTTAAAACTACATTTTTAAGTTTTATCTTTAACCATAGAAGCTGCATGACTTTACAATTTGACATATTAATTAAATATCATTCAGTGTCTATTTCAATGTGCAGCAGCTTTTTCCACATAGTCTAATGCTCTTTTCACATCATTAAATGTTCTCTAATCCAAACTGTTACTTTTCTTAATTAATGAAATTAACATTTGACTGAAAAACAGATGAAGAGGAGATGGCCACAATTGCAAGTATTGGAAGAATATTAAAATCCAACAGGAGAAATAATAACTGTTGCTTTTATATTTGTAGGAAATAAAGATGACCAAATAAACGTAACAGCTGTTGTGGTGATTACGGCATATATCTCCAACTATTCTTCCATCTGGCATCCTTCCATTCCATACAGTAATCATCTTAATTTTTGATTGCTTTGTGCTCAGGAAACTGCACAAATATTATAAAAAAGAGTGTGAGAGCGAGACACACACAGCGGCCTTACTGATGTGCTCTGCATCCCTGATGTTACATAGAAAACTACCACATAAAAATAGTACTGCTCAAATAAATATGGATGTGGATTAGGGTTGGGCCGATAGACGATGCCATCGTCCATCGCCGATGGCTGATAGACATCACGATGTTGAGCCGGCATCGTGACCCCCCCCCCATTCCCCCGCATCCCAATACCGTGTTCGGAAAGAAAATGAGTGTAGGCGGAACCCCTAAAGGGAATAAATACGAGATGGGAGGAAAATATATATTTCAATATTTTTCCTCGCAGTTATATAATTGGGTAATTATACTACATATATATTTCAGCATCAGGGAGCCGCTATTATACCTGGCATTGAAACTGGCATCATGCTTTTGAATGCACGATCGCTTTTAGTTTCACTTTCACTTTCGAGATTCGCGATCGCACATACTCTGTTTATACTATGGAGCGGCAGTACTTGCCACACATTTTATATGTTTGTCAGTGGTAT